TGCTATCATTGCAAACCGTTCATGAGTGTGCCAGTACGAAGTTCTCCACAGCAAAGCTGCAGGATGGTAGCTAGTCCAGCTGTAGCGAAGAGCAATGTCACTGAGGACTTCAAGGGGTCGCATGAAAGGTTTGATAAAAACGTCACGAAATTTCCCTTTATCATGGATGGACAAAGGTCTCCAATCGGTAGGCCATTGTAGGTCTTCCTGACACAAGGCTTGAGGGTTTCCAAGTCTCCACAACCCATGCGGGGGGGAGATTGGGCATGCCTAGTATTGCAATCGGTAGCGTTTCCCACCCCTGTTGCTCCAGCTCTCGTAAAGCAGCTTGCGCTCCAACTTTGGCTTTGCCAAAGGCATGAAATATGGCAGGACGCATTCGGTTGCGCGGCAGTGCACTGGCTTGAAAGCGATGTTCGCCTGGCAACGACGCGACTGTACATGGCCCCGTAAGCATTGGAAGCACTGAAAGTATTCCCTGTTCAAAGGTGGCTCGAGCCCAGCTAGTGACCCACGGCGTTCGCTCTCTTCCCGCAGGGGTGAGGGCCCTGGGATGGGATTGCCGTGGCCACTTGATCGTGCTGTCTGGACCAAGTTCATTCGGGGTGGTAACAGGGCTAGGCCAAAAGTGCTTACACATGTAAAGCCCATATAAGGACCAGACCATACATAGGTCAAGGGCGGTTTGCATTGCGACACCAACAAAAGGGGTAAACATAGTGCCACTGATGACTGTATCGCTTGGATTGACTGGTGGTCTGGCTCTAGATACCAAGGCAAGGCGGCCCGCCTGGAGGCTCTTCGCCAGGGTCGAAGCAGTAGCATCATGCTCTAGCGGACTGTGCTTGCTGCGATTGCCGATTGAAACGACCAGTCCTGCATTATATTCCAAGTGAGCCTCTGTGAAGAGGAGCATACCAATTCCTGCACAGGAGCTAGACTCTGAGCGTGCACGCCCCAGCAGATCGACCCACTGGTGCTGCTGATGCGCCAGCTGCAGTAGATCTTGCACTTCAAAAAGCGTGACTGGTACACAGTCATTGTCAATGAGTGCAAAGTGTTGCGCCGGATACAAGAAACGCGCTACCTCTAACACAAAAACTCCTGCCCAGTAGTATGGAACCTTGTGGAGTCCAGTAGTAGCATCCGCACACACCCAAAGTATGTCAGTTGTTTCTTCCTGGGGACCTACTAGGCACCTACGTGAAGCCCACCATGCTGCAAAAGCTGGCCAATGCGGGACATCTGCTGGCATGCGATTGTCCACTATTAAGTAGATCATTTGATTATTCATGATCAAGTCACGGTGTGACATTAGTGTTCGAATGATGGCAGTAGTATCAGGCAAATCCCCCTCTGTTTCAAGAGTGGGATACCCCTCGTCCTTTTTGGGTGGCTGAGCTCGAACATCGGACAAACCCAGAGTAGGGCAGGCAGAATCAAGGCCGAAAGGACTGCTGAGAGTGTCTTTCATAGCCATCGCTGCATATGCTTCCTCCTGGGACTGGTCCACACTAGCCTCCGTACCCCTGGCAAAGCTGGCCTGGCCATCTGCTGTCAGCCACTCCGCATGATCACGTGTGTATACAAAAGGCACGTGGACTCTGTCCTCCAACCCTTCCGTTAGGTCCAGTGAATTACTGTCCTCCATCCACGGGTCATGTGACATGATTGTTGCTCTGCTCGAAGATACGAATGCAGCCCCCGCCAACTAAGGCTGGCAGTTGCCCTGAGCGCCACAAGCAAACGAAAGGCAACAATGGTGATGTCAGCTAAGGCTGACCTCACACATGTGTGCTGGTGCTGCTACATCCTAAGTAGGGGAGCTCTGCTAATACGGCATTTTCAAAACCCCGAATGCCGGTATGTGCATTCAAATCTACCTCAATGGACAGCTTCTCTCCTGCTAGCGTGAGGAAGGTGCAGGTCTGTGCCACCATCCCTTCTTCACATCAGTGAGGACTGGGCCTAGACGTATCAGCTGGCACATCACTAGCTTGAAGTCACTAGCTTGAGCCGTTAGAGTTGCAGGGTAGGTATGTGTAGTTTCATCACGCCCTAGTACAGTGCATTAGTGGCCATCTACTCCCTTGGCTTAGAAACTGCACGGACGAATGGTTTGTGCCGGGCACAAGGGCGCAAGTTGACCTGGCCGGGCCCCGAGCTAAGGCTCGCGCCCAGCCTGGATGGATTGTGGGAAAACCACAGGCTGTTACATTTGGACAGGGGCATTTCAGGCTAAATCAGAGACATACCCTGTGTCCGGAATCACGTGTAGCCATGGCGGCCATCGCATATCTGGGCAAATGGCGAAGGCATTTTCTTCAGCATAAACCCCTCGCCATTTGTGCCGGCCGGGCAACTTGACTAGCCTCTTGAAAGCAGTGCAGTCCAAGAAAGCTCTACTCGCTATGTATTTAAGTGAGGGTGGTAAAGCAAGTTCTGGCAGGGCAGCGCAATTCATGAAGGCCTTAACTCGAATCGTATGGTGTCTTCGGGAGACGAACTTCTTTGAGGCTCGTGCAGTGCACAAAGGTAAATTCTTGTATTTCCTCGATTTGTGTGTTAGAAAGGTCAACATTCTTGAGCAGGTGGCAATTGTCACAAGCATGCGCTCCAATGACTTTAAAGCCCTGCGTTAGCGTTAGTGTAGCTATCCCTGTAGAGCTGAGGCAACCTAGGGCCAATTCCCTGGCAGTGGGTTGTGACGGCAGCTCGTTTGGGGAGGGACTCTCTTGCAGGGTAAATTCGGCAAGGTTGATGCAGCCTCTAAAGAGGTAATGCCCAAACTTGGTGAGGCTGCTAAACCGATTGGCAATTTCTTCAGTATGGACCCACTGCAGTGAGCAGCACTCATCAAAAGCTTTGTAGCCAAACTCTCGGCAACCAGGGGCAGTGACACTATTGAGCAGTTTACAGCTTCGAAATGCGTTGTCAGAAATGCTAACGACTGTGGACGGCAGCTTGACAATTCGGAGCTGACGGCATGAGTGCCATGCTTCTGGGCCAATAAGGCGAATACCTGACTCTACGCTGAAATGGCGTAGGCGTGGCACTCCTGCGAAAGCCCCTTCGGGGACAGCGCTTTCTGGATTCATGGGGACATGGACAGCAAGCGGAACTTTGTCGATAGGATACCCTTCTAGGAGTTCCTGCGAGGGCAGGAATTCACTGCAATCCTTGAAAATGATGCAGTATTCCATACTCTGTTGCAGTTTGTCCCAAATCGGGTCCTCCAGATAGGTCTGCGTGGCCAAATGCAAAAATTCGATCGAACACCCGAAAACTTTGAGGTCAGTCACGGAGACCAGGTAATCCATAACATGATCCTCCAAGTCCGCAAAACGGTCGAATTTTGCAATGCTGAGAGAGACATTAAGCGTCACACCCGACAGAGTAGTTAGCACCAAGCAGCAGTCCATCACCGGCTCTCTTTCCGGGGGGGTGCTGGCTCCGGAAGATTCGGCAGGCTCCATGGAGGATATCATAGCGGCAGGATTTGAACCAACGTCTGCTAACTGTGTGTAAGTAGGTTAAATTTTACTTCACCGGACAGCTGCTTCGAGATGGGTCCTAACTCTCCGAGCCAGAAGGCAGCACAAGGGACGGATGCCTACCAGGACTGGTGCTAAGGCACCCGCCATGGTTTCTTGTTGATATGCCTAGAGGTCAGGGAAATTCCGTATAAAGCTCCTCATCAAATGCGTCCGAATCCGGTCCTTCAGTGGGTAGCAGTTCCACCCATAACGGTTGTTCAAAATTGTCACACAGCAAAAAAGCATTGTGTTCTGCTTGTACGTTTCGTGCCTTTTCTCTTGGTTCTATTTTTTCTTTGTTTGGAATACCATGCTTGACAAGATGTTGCCTCGCGTCGTGTCGTTCGACTCCGCTTTTGGCTCAAGAAACTGCTGCGTTGCTGTGCACTTTAAAGGTCGATATGTTTGTGCATGGCAGCGGAGGTTCTTGGCATTGGGGCGGTGTCAGCTGCTTTGGCTTGCCGGTCCCGGTGGAATTGCATCCGCGGGCAGAGGATCTTGGCGAGGACGCGCTCAATCTGAAAGGTCGTTGCAGCGGCTCTTCCATTGCATTGGACCACCTGCAGGAACACTCAAGACGATCCAGCGCGATTTATCAACATGGCGTTGTGATGCACGGACCTTTTTCTCCGCGCAACCTTGAGCCAAACGAAGTTAGTCGAATGGCGAGTTCACCTGAGTGGAACAGGTACACTTCTCGTTTTGTGCGCCTGAATGCAAACGAAAATTGGGGAGGCATGTTTCAACTGCCACAGATTCGACAGCCGATTCATGCAGAGTACAATTGGAGGAAGATGGATCGTTCTTTGGAAACCATCGAGAGCGAGTTTGAATCCCATGAATGTGGATGCCACGTTTGAGGGAATGCACACGGAGGTCATTGCTCTAGAAAAACGGATAGCAGGTTAAATTCCACATATGTGGGATATGTGGGATCTTGTGTGCTACACTGACGTATTGCCGTGTTAATTGTTTGCATGACGCGTTGAAAAAATCACACTTTGGAAGGCCTCAGTGTCGAACAAACATGTTGCACACGTTGCTGGTTTATTGACACATGCCACATGTGGGCAGGGCTCAATTGGCAAATCCATGCCCAGCTGTTGGCAATTGTTTTGGCCTATTTTATGTTTTCGGAAAACACATTCACATTGATTGACTTTGCATGTGGATCCGAAAAAACTGAGTTATTTCATTGCTTGACAGCTTAGTGGACGCATTGGCCACCAAACGAACTGAACGACTTTTGGGACCTTTTTCTTGTGGTACTTCTCTTCCCGTGCATTTGTGCCTTTGCGTGAATGCCAGATACTTTGGTCTGACAAATTTATTGGCATTTTCAACCTAAGACATTTGGGCACCGCACGTGCAGCTTTGATGGGCAAAAACGGTTAAAATTCGATCGAAGTCCGGACAGTCCCACGAAAACCATGTTTGAGAATCATTGACATCATTGTGTCCTGCAGCTTACATTTTTGCTTCCAAAGACGGTGCGCCCAGCAACCCCTATCATCACGATGCCGTTGGGGCAGGGACCGTACAAGCTTCGGGCAGACGTGGTGCCGGTGAACTCGGAGATGACCGTATTTCCAGGCGAGCTGTTGTACGGCGCTGTGTGTCAATGTTCAGGTTGAAGGCAAACACATCACGGCGGCTTTGGTTTTTGGGTTCTCGATTTGCAAACTTTGCAAGCATGTTTGTGTGGTGGAACAAAAATCAGGACCTGTTCGATGCATTTGATTCGTTTTTTCGGTGTTTTGCAACTGTTCAGCTGTGATTTTTCACCAAATGTGGGTTTTTCGTCCTCAACGTGACCATCAACATCGAGTGCTTCCCTCGGCCCCACGTCGCCACTGGTGCTTTTCGACCCAGGCGTCCACGCGGCGAACTTCTGTGTTTGCACCTCGGGCGGCGGGGCACGAGCTTTGACACATACCATGGGCGTCTACCGGGCGTTGCAGGAAATGGGCATCATGGAGCAGCTCGATGGGATCAGCAACATGGCCTGAACTGCGCAAGGATGGCTGAGGGTGGGGTGCTTCGTGGGCGTGGGTGGTGTCAGGAGTCTGTTGGTCTACCAAATCTGTGCGGGCGTAATAGTGTGTTGGCCCAATGTCCAGGGTCAAGACAGTAGATATATTATGTTTTCCTGACATTGTCTTCGGACTCAACAAGGACATTTTGATGAGTTGCATTGTCAGGAATGGAGAAGAATCTTCACCCCCAAACTTTCATTGTGTCGAACGGATAATTTATCGTACAGTCTTCAAGGATTGCCGAACGTGAGAGATGTACTTCCATGAAATTGAAGGTGATTCAGTTTATAATTATAGTGGTCCGCAAATAGATAGTGGCACTTCTTCTGCAAGCGATGCAAAGGCAGTGCGACGTTTCGTTCATCAATGCATCAGGCTTTTTCAAGTAGGCGGACCAGCTCTGGTGGCCCAGCAACCTGGGTTACCAGCGGCTGGGATAGCTGCTTCCAGCGGTTCGCTTTCCTTGACCCATGCCATTCGCTTGTGAGGTTCGGTCTCCGGTGGCACTTGGGCCTCTTCGATCTACATGTGCCGCAACAGCATGGCGTCTGATTATTTTGGGTCGACAATGAAAGGTACCGCGAGGTGTGCACTGAACATGATGAATTGCAGGGATGGGAGATGTCTTTGTAAGTCAGCTGGACACAGAGATGATTTACCCAATATCCATCAACATACATCATATGCTGCAGGTGTTGGAAGACTTTAACGTGATGTGATTGCCTTTGAAGCACCGTGCAGATATGAAGTCTAATGGCAGAATCAAAGGGCATGTTTTGTGTGCAACTGTGCTGAAATGGCAGTGAGTTGATGCTTTTCAGGATACAACTCGAAGAATTGATTAGCAAGACATTGTTGTATCGGCACCGGTTTTTCTGTGTTGTTGAAGAGGGCCAAGCGGCTATCCGCCTCGATTCTTTCTCTTGGTTGAAAGCCCTTCAGTTCTCGCATGTAGATGCTGAACCGGAGTTCTGATGCGAAGCCGACTCTTTAAGGAGCCTCACAATCATCAGTTCTTTCAAATCTTTTGGGGTTTGTTTACAGTTGCGTTTCCTGAAAGTACTCGGACAGTTCATCAGCATCACCAAACCCGAAACACTAAACCACGTGAATCGATTTGGGTGAATCGATGGTTGTGTCCCCTTACGTCATTTCGGGCCATCTTACTTCGCCCCTCTTCGCCGAGGTTCGCGCGGGAGTTCCAGGGCGAGGCCATCGAGGCCAGTGCCTTGCTCGGGGCGCGGACGAGGCCGGAGCATCTGACCCTGCAAGCCTTGCGAGAGGAGGCTCCCCCCATGGCGCGGGGCATTACGTGGCTCGGTGAGGAGAGAGGCAGGAGATGCAGGGCTTGTGTGGACTCTACAGATCTCTGTGGTGTTTTCCAAGGTCGGGACAAAGGCTTCGAAGGTTGAGAGTTTGAGGATTTTCCGATGTCGAGCTTGGATGAGCAGGACACTTTTACTGAAGGGGATTCAATTGATGGGATGGCACTTCTGAGCTGTCAATTTTAAATAGAATATTTTTTTGAGAATCAGTACTTTTCTCGCAAGTGCCGTCCACTTCTTAGTGAAAAAGGTTGATCAGAACCTCAGAGATTCGCTCGCCCAACGTCAGTGTCCGCGAACGCCGACCCAACGGTTCCAGGGTTCCAAAAGGACCCATGTGTCCATTGGCTCCGAGGAAGGGCAACTCCAGCCAGCTCCTCTGGCAGTATGCGGGCTCACACCGAGACAATGAGGTCTGGGCCCATGTGGTGGCAGCCTCTCGGATGTCGGATGGGCGGTGCGGTTGCACATCCGCACGTTGGGGTTCCTTCGTGGTTCCGGTGGCATTCCGGGTCCAGCTCCCGCTCCCTTGGTTTGAGAGGAGTGATGTAGAAGATAGAAGTCAACTTCTACAAGACTAAGAGCAGATGGTGCAACAGATGGTGCAACAGTTTAACTCTGTCTTGGTGTGCTTTTCGGCCGAACCGATCCCATGGGCATCGATGCCTGTCTTGAAACAAGACGAGAAGGCTCCACCGGCCTGGTTTCTAGGGAAGAATAGGACTCAACCACTGCGAAAGAGAAGGTGTTGCTGAGGGACTGAGGGACCCCCGAAAAGGGAAATCATCAAGTCAATATCATCAATCTCCAATTTGTGATTGATGGACATCACCGCATTCTTCCCAGTCCCAGAACACTATGAAACGACACATGCTGCGGTGTGTCATGGCGCATCGGCCCGTTTTGTGCGTTCGTGGCCCATCGGCCCGTCTACCGATGTCATGTCATGCCACGGAACCCGGACATCGGGCATCCGGACCCCAAGTTGGGGACAGATGTCATTTGGCTCAGTAGAGGGAAAGCAGAAAAATGAGATGCACAGGAAGTCCAAGTGAGATTCATCATGACACTTCAATAGTTGTTCCATCCTGTCAAAGAAGAGGGGCCGTTCTGGGTTCTTTTGCTTCGACCTTTGATTCGAGGACCTGATCTTGCAGCCCTTTGGTCTGGAGAGCTTCGAGTGTTGTGTGGCCGAGAGTGAGGAGGAGGTCAAGCGGATCAAGGAGGAGAACCCGGGCATCCAGGCGATTTGGGCGTTGAGGGAGTGGAGCGGAGCGGAGTTCCGGTCAGGTTGGAAGGAAGACCTAGCATTCAAACCTTGGATGTGCGACCTGGCCCAAGCTCAGCTGCTGGTCGTGTGGTGCAAGGTTCCTACATTATCCTACACTCAAAGGAGACAGAATTTGTGATGACTGCTTGCAGCTTGCAGTTGTACCCTTTGCTGTGAACCCGACATATATACTGGTGAACCCATGATTCATGGGGCAACTATTCTATACACCCGTGTTTCTTTTTTTTTTTTGACGTCTTCCAAGAAAACCCCCAGCGGACAGACATGGCATAGCCACTCCAGGTCAGAGAACCGATGGATCTGAACACAGTCGCCCGGCCTTAGAGGTGCCCGGACCTTCAGGTGTCTTCTTCCCTTGGCCGCCCCTGAAAAAAGCTCAACCCCACCGAATCGCCCTGAGCTCCATCGCCCCTTTGTATGGTCCCATGCCCCACCCCTCCTGCGGTGTGGGAAAAGCACCACGACCCACCTCCAGGGCGTGCCCTTCCACGTGCCGCGCCGCGATCGTCCAAAGCTCTTCGTGATGAACGGCGCGCTGCTGGCGCCCTCAAACCATGGCATCTCCGGTGACAGCGTGGCTACTGGGCGACAGCTTTCGGAACCAAAGCGTCCGAAACGGTGCTGAAGTCCCTGGGACTTAGCTGGGAAAGTTCCAAAGACCAAGAAACAGAGCAGGACAATCTGGAGTTGAGTCATTTTTGGGATCCTCCTCCCCCCTTTTTCTTGTAATTCTGGCTTGTGTTTCATGACCAGATACCAACTATTGTGGCTCCAGGGTCAGAAACATGTCTTGGATCAATTCCCTACCACTGCCTTACTATGAGTTCTGTGAGTTTGGACCCATTACGACCCAGAACCCCACCTCGTCGTGTCGACCGTCGGACCGGGCCCGGGATGGAAGCGCGGAAACGACCGACGAGCTTTCCGTCCGACTGCGTCAGAGGGTCACAGACCGGTCGAGGTTTGGGCTTTGAGGTGGCTCAGACCTAGGCAGCTGGTAGATAGTGCGACTCATGGGTCATCTTAGATGACTGGACAAGAGGCACCCCAGGTTCGTGTTTGGAGTGTTTGGCCATTTGCTCGTTTGTGTCCGTGGAGCTTCTGTAAACTGAGACACCTTTTCTGCACATGAGAAAAACACGACACGACTGGAGTTTCGTTTCTTGGTGCCTTTTCTGCCTTTTAGCCCTCCCACATCTGAGGTGTCTTTTCAGATGTCGCCAGATTACAGTGGCAGCCCCTTTTACCCCAAGGACTCCGTCCGGCTGGGCGGCGACGTAGAGACATCGGCCTTTAGGCCGCTTAGGACACACAGCCTTTGGCTGCAGAGAAACAGATTTGGCTCTCTGGACAAACTTCCTGAATCCCAGGAAAAACCCGGGGATTTGCCACCAATTGTCACTGCTCACATCAAGTCTGGTCGTGGAACTAAGTCCAACATAATATTCGGAGCTGCTGGACACTATGCGTTTGTATCAGTGGTTTCGGTCATTGCTGTTCCCAACTGCAACCCAGCATCTGGATGAATGCTTCCAGCTAGAAAAGAGCGATTGTCTTCTTGAGCTTGTCTAAACCGCACATATACACCCAGACTATAGACAAACTGAAGCAGCTCGATGGCAAGTGGTCCCGGAGTTCTTCTTTGATGTGACGCTCCAGGACCAAGTCTTGCGCTTCACTCCAGACGTGACGTATCAGCCAGTGCCTTTATGCTGCATCTATCCCTGCTGGAGGAAGGCTTTGACCTTGAGCATCGGGGGCGGCTTCATCGAAACCTTTGCCTTCGGCCGCTCGGCTTTGGAAACGGTGACGAAGTCACGAAGTCACGAAAGTGGCTACTTTCAGGTTCTCCGCCTGACATCATTACCCAGATATATACATCCAGATACAACGATTCTGAATCCCAACATCTCAAACGCATTGTTTTGAAACGCACGCCCTCCGAGCTCAGCACTCACTGCCTCCGTAGTGTCGCACGCACTGTGCCAGGTGGCGACGCGCCGGAGGCTGAAGCGCAGCGGGGCGGCAAGGTGGAGGTCCCCACGCCGGACACGAGCTTCTCCTTGCCCGAGCGGCTTGGCGGTGTCGTGCTCGGTGCGTTTACGACCCTGTCGTGCTCGGGTGGGCGAGGAAGAACAAGGAGCTGTTGGTTGGAAGGGCCTTGGTTGAGGCATAGACTAGGTGACGTGGCCAATTCTTTCATGAGGGCAAGACCTTCCGAGCGGCGGGGGATGTTTGCACCAAGAGCTACTGCAAGAGCTATTTTTCGACCTACCCAGCGGAAACAGCTTAACAAGCAAGGGCTTTGGAGGGTTTCAGTGGGTCACAACGACAGGACCAGTGTGTGTAGGACCGACGCTCGAACGGTGAAACTCAGGATGGTGGGAATCAGCAGCTATGCTCCCGCCTCGTCCTTCTCGAACAGGCACGACTCAGCTGGGTAGTTTGGGTGTGGAAAGGCGCAATCCTTCACAGGTAGACCAACCTAATAGCGATGGCCTTCAACCTACTAGCGATGGCCTCCAACCCACTAGCGATGGCCACCAACCGAAATGCGATGGCCTCCAATCTACTAGCGACGGCCTTCAACCTAATAGCATCTAATGGCGATGGTCTCCCACCCAAGAGCGAAGGCCTGCAACCCAGGTCATGGCACCATGTTCACCCAACCAGTCCACCGTGTTTGCCGGGGGTAAGACTTTCCACTCGGTGTCGGTCGTGCCCGGTTGGTCTCCTGGTGCCATGACCCAGAGCCACAATGGAATCTTCGATTTCGGACTTCTAGTGACCCTCTGATTTAAACAGATGCCTGACGTGCGGAAGCACGTGTATGCTAGAAGGGTGGCAACACGTGCGGAAGAAAACATGCGCTTTCCGTCAGAGGCTGCTGACCAGTTGGTGGCTCAACATCCGCAAGAAGTACTGGGCCATTTGCAGCAACACTTGTCCATCTGCCCAGGCGGTTTTGGGGAGAAAGTGAGAAAGATGTGTCCAGTTGTTCAGCTGTGTTTCGGGATGATTAGATTGAGGCAAGATCGTGGCTGGTTTGGTATTTGGTCAGGCAAGGCAATCTTGTTTCGTGTGAGGTTTTTCAGTTCTCGCGAGGTCTACTGTCGTGGCACATGGGGATTTTCCGTTGGAACATGTAGCTGTAGGTTCTTGTTCTGCAGATATTGACGCCTCAAACAGATAGAAGTTCGTAGATCCCCGCTAAAAATGTCTTGGACACCGTGCCACTATCTATCTATCTATCTATCTATCTTTGGGGATCACTCGTTTGAACCTCCCACCCCCTGGGCCTCGCCCTGCCGTGCCCTCGCACTTCATTCAGTGCGACAGGAAGCGCATGAATATCAGATGGGCGATGGCGGGGCCATCGACAACAGCGGTTTGCTTCCCCTCCTGCAGCGCAGGAGTCGCAAGGAGCGGTCCGGGTGGTTTCGGAGCGGACGCCGGGGGTGGGAGAGACGGAGCTGCGTATCGCTGGTCCCGCGGTGGGCGGAGGCGGGAGATGTGTGGGTTGACTTGCAGTGAGAAGATGTTGACTGAAATCTGAGTGAGCTTAGGGCATCCTTCAAAGGTCTCAAATAGGTGGTCTTGGGGGGAAAGTGCTCCCATTGATCTCATTGATGGAAAAATGCTTCGTGGCGGAGAAGAGTGTTGCTTCCAGCCCAAACGCTGAAGTCTCTACACACACCTGCGGCTGAACGAAACAAAGAGAGCCCAAAGAAGGCACCGATGGCAGCCACATCCGCCACTCTTTGACCATCGTCTTTATTCATTCGGTGAACACTGGTAGATTTGTCCCCCCAAATACGCCTTGTTGAGACCTCCGCTCTTTACTGGTCTTCAGCGCCAAGGGAAGAATAGCAGCCTCCTTTGCACAGGTGACTAGGAGCCACTGACAGCTGCCACTCATTTCTTGGCAGATTTTCGCTGCGTGTCGATGCTGCCTGATCTGAGTCTGAAACATATTCTCCGGTCACTCTTCCACACGGTCTGTAAGTGTAGCCCTGAAAAAGGCCCCATTCGCGCGAATGTTGCGCGCGCGAAGAGTCGAATGTCGGGCAATTTGGAGGTGATTTGGATTGCCAGCTCCTACCGACCTCTACAGGACTACGACTTTGAAGGGGCAACTGGGCAGCGAGTGGGATGTCTGGTGGGGAAAGGGAAATCTGCAGACAGTTGGGTACCTCCGGTCCTGATTTAGCTGAGGTGAGCTGGTAAGAGTGTAGCTTCGGATGAGAAGACTCCTGCCAGCAGAACTTGGTTAAGAAAAGGCTCTGGCTCAATAGCATCAGCAACGGAACCCTGAGCACTTGGGCCATCAATTTGCTCAAACAAACCGCATTTTTTACGATACTGCTCCATGGAGTCTATCGGATCTACTCCCCTTTCGAACGCGCCAACCCGAGGCCACCGGTCGCGCCACCCCCTGCAAGAAAGATCCGTCCGCGCACGAGGCCACCATTGACAACTTCGACCCGGATGCGGCAGGAGTGATAGATCAACTCTCGAGCCTCTTCGGGTACGGATTGAACGACCAGGATGAGGGCTACTTCTATGCCAACAACCAGGCTGAAGGGATGTATGACAATAGATAAATAGAACATCCAGCAGTGACCTGGCAGTGACCTCACTGACCGCCAATTCTGACTCGAATTGGCGAACTGACTCCCGCAAGCAGCAAGCTTCGCTGATGCATTCTGATGCCATCCATCCATCGCAGCCGCAGCCGCAGCCGCAGCACCGGCTCACACTCCCTGAACTGCCAATTCCCAATGGACACTCCGGGGTCGCTCATGGTCACCATGTGAAGTCCACACTCCCTGAGTGAAGTCACTCATGGGCACGAGTTGGGATGACCATGAAATCCAAAGAAACCGGTGGTGAACTGCACGAGGCCATGATTCTGACAAGGAGAGTCGGTCGAAAGCGTCTTCCTTCGGCCCGTCTCCGCCTCACAAAAGGGGCTCTGACCATTGGGGCCGGGAAAAAAGCTGCTGATTCACTCAAAAAGGGTGGAGTTTGATTTTTGCTTCGGAACATGGAGTTGATTCGCCCCTGTTGGTTGGATCTCCCTCCATCCGTCGATCGGTGTCCCTCCAAAAAGAGGACCCTTTTCGATCGGTGATCGTCGGGCAGGTCTTCAAGAAGTCCCAGCTGCTGCCGATCTGCCGAAAGCTCTTTGCTTTGAAGTCCTCAGGGAAGCCGATGGTGCTGAAAGAGAGCTTGGACGTGCTGCCCAACAGCTACTGGGGCATCCGGGGAGACTACCAGGCAGCACGAACTGGCAGGGTGTTCGGGGGCGTCCTCTTTTTTAGAATGCGAGGTGTGAGTTCTGTGGTTTGAAAATCAGATCTTGTCTTGGCAAGGATGGTCATCCATGTGGGAGCAGGAATTTTGCAAATGTGAAGCATTTGTTGTCCGGTTGGGTCCCAAACATAGATAGATTTGCGACTTCAAACTATCTCAATCTGAATCTGAAAACGACACACACACAAGCTGCACTAAGTAGTATTTCCAACTTTTGCGTCGCTTACCATCTCTTTCGACATACCTTTCAAACTCAGCACAGCCAACCCCTTGGTGCCCTGGCCAGGTGTCCTTCGTGCTGATCTACTTGGACGAGTGCGCAGAATTCCAGCAGCAGCTGCCGCAGGAGGTCCGAGATGAGATCGCCAAGGGCCCAAATGGCATGCTAGAGAACTATCCCATCTACAAGACCAACCGCGCGCCGCGTTGGGTCCTGCGTCGTGCTTCTTTGGTCTTGAGCTTTGGGTCTGGTGTCAGAGCTCTGCCATTGGGTGCAGGGTGGATGAGATCCTTTTGGAGGGGAAGGAAACGTAGAAACAATAAGCTAGTAGTAACAAGTGCATCGCTACCTTCGTAACAAGTGCCTTACTACGTTCGGAGCAATGTTTGCTAGTAGAAACCTGCAGAGCACATGGACCCTGAACACTGGTTCATGAGGCTTGTCGTGCTTTTTCCTCGGACCATCGAGTCGTCGGAGATCGTCGGACACTGACCGGCGTCCCTCAGCCGGATCGACTGAGCTCGCTTCTTAGCACTCGCACGGTCCCGGCATGTCGTCTCTACTCCAAGTACGCGTCCAGTGGATCTGGATTCATGACAATATATATATATATATACAATATATAACATATATATATATATAGATATTTTAATTATTAACCGCTTGTAATTCGTTTTGTTTGCAAAATTCGGGGTACCGTGATCCAGTGAACACTGGCAGGACCACTGGGAACAACAAGGAGGACATGTTGGGCCTCAACACTGCTCAGGCAAGGCAGACTGCTGAGAAGCGAGAGTGAGGTTCCATTTGACTTGAAGATTCCTCAGTCTTCACTCCAGCAGGATTTGAAGATGGGAACCTCTGGGGGGTACTTACTCTCCCTGAAATCATGATGGGAAGTAGATTGGCACGGCCCCGATTGCGGATGACCATTTTCCGGAAACCAAACAGATGGTTTTCAACTTCCGATGATTATTTCAGGGAGTGTATATATATATTATATGTATAATGTATAATATATATATATAGACGACTTTTTATTCCTGAGCTTACTTTCGGCATGGCACGACCGGGTCTAGCGGATCATACCTGGCGTAAGACTCAGAAAAGGTGTTCCCACTTCTTCGGTATCATTTGGCTCTCTGCTCTCAACCTCAACAAAGACCGAGCCAAAAAGACACCGAGCATCCAGGGGTCACTAGTCAAATCCCATGAGCGCCCAGGTGAATCTGTTAGCCGCCCAAGGGGAATATGCGGTGCGACAGAATGCTCATCTTTTCCGGGAGCTGCGGGAGATCACGCAACCACATCTGCCGACAATCTTGAGGGGACCTTCTTCGCCGGACAAAGTGGCGAAGTAGAGTCAGACGGTTGTCCTTTTACTAGCCAATCCAGGGATGAAGTGGAGACAAGGGATGATTATGCCTCAGTTTTATTTGGATAAGAATTCTTAAGCAACTTGGTTTTCAGGAATTACCCACAAAATTCGCTCGTCGCAGCAAAAGGACAATGCTGAGTCGGGTCTCCGGTTGTGGTTTTCCTTGGCCATGCCAAGGTGAATTCTTTTGGTGGGTGGATTTTTGATCAGAGCGGGCATGGTTCTTGAAGTGGAGACGGGGACGATCCGTCACCATCTTTGCCTCAGAATCTAAATGGAGGTAGCTTTTTGTCTTGATTGCAAACTTCAACATGTAGATGTACAGAATTGATCTCATTTTGCAACTCCAGTGTTTTTTTTTTCCATGGTTCTGGTGATTTTCCCGCCCGCCAACTGCATGCAGATTTACAGCTTTTACAGTTATAAATTGGCAGCCAGATACGGCTGTGGTCGCCGGCCGGGCTCATAGAGAGCCGAAAAGAAGGTCAGTCGCGGCCCCAAACGCAAAGCGCCTAAATGAGGCAGCAGATTCACCGAGCCGTCTGGCAGGCGACCAGTGTTCTGTCAGATGGAAGGTGGAGCTGTGTGTATAGACTTTCACCTTCAACTCTTTGTGAAATTGTCTCATGAAGGGGAATGTGGCGGAGGGTACTTTACCATGGAGTGCTAGCTCCACACACCTCTCCGTGAGTGGGACGATCTGCGAACCCCAAAAAGCAATACGATCTGCGACGGACGAAGCGGACGAAGCGAGTGAGATGTTCGAGTCGCAAAGAACTGGATTTGCAATGGTTTGAACGGGCGCTTCTGAGACACTCTGGGTCTTCATACCATGGTAAGAACTGGAGAACTCCAGGGAATGGTTTCACTTTACCATGAAACACTTTCCAGTGATTTCTTTTTTCTCATGATATGAAGACAAATGGTTGGTATGAAAACAAGCCAAGCTTGACGTGAGCAACAGCAGTGATATTCTGTCATCAATCTGCCTTGGCTGCGCCCAAGGCTCAAGGCTCAATGCGAAAGTGACACCGATGTTGCAAGCGAGGCACCTAGCTCTGCCCAGCCCTCCTGTGCTCCTTATAACTGGAGAAAAGAGTCCGACTAGTCAATCAAGAGAACAAGAGGCGCATTCGTCGTTACGCCCGAGGAATACAGGCGCATTCGCTGTTGAAGACATCACGGCAGCACGGCAGCGTGTCGGTTTAATGCTAGGTGGTGTGGGTCTAATGTGCTAGGTTTCGGGTTGTAATGGAATGGTGGGTGCTCTTGCTGGCACCTCAATAGATTCTTTCACAAAACTTTCGCCAACACTTTGCCTCCAAGGGGGGCAACTGGCTGCCAAAACGAGCCTCTCCTTCCAAATTTCATGCGCGGCCCATGGTGCTTGCTTCTATTTGGGATCTTGGCGCTGCATGACTCGACTTGCAGGCTGCTTTGACGGCCGTGCAGGTGGTTTTCGTTATCCACTAAACAATCGAATCGTTCGACAGAACAACGAGATTGTGAACAACACTGTACACAAACCTATACAAGACGAATTCTTGGTGCTAACACTATACATGTTTTTTGTTTGACGGGGTGTCCAAGCCTGTATATATATAAATGTATATGAGACACATACATATATAATGTGTGGTATTGAATGGTTCCTTGAGATCCTCGGTTCAGTTCATGCCTGACTTTCCAGTGTCATACCAGTTTGTGCATTTTGTCTTCTGGTGTTGCTTGTGCCGCGCAAAATGGTTCACGAAAAACTGCCGTCGTTGGACACGTGTGGCAAATTGACGTTGCTTGAGGCGCAAGAGCAATTGACGTTGCTTGTTTCAGCCTTCCGTGTTGGACTGGACCTCTTGCACTCAGTTCGAAACATGTTTCCAATTGGGTGCAGCTGTTTCGGGCGGGACTGGAGGCCAGGCTGTGCCCTGAATCGGCTCCTGTTGCTCGGCATGGGTGGGATTTTGGGGGGGCACGTGGTTCTTCACTGAGCTTTGTTTTGTTCTGGTGTAACGGAACAAAAGGTCGGTTCGGACGTTTTTCACGTTCTTTTTTGCGCACCGTGGACCTTCCTCGGGAAGGATACAGCTGTGGCTGTTTTGTTGGTTGTGAACGCAGTTGTGAAAGGGCATGTGTCCGGTGCTGTTAAAAGGTGATTGGTCCACCTAAATCATGAAACAAAGCTACCAGTAGAGACAAGGGACAGATTCTAACCTTCACTTCCATCCATGTTTTTTCCCTTACTTTCCATGAATTTTGCCCCACAAATCCAATTTTGTGATTCGGAATCGCACTCCGATTCGTCCGCTGAGGCTGGAGCCCTCCGAAGTCTCCCAAAACCAAGCGCTGCTGGCCATGTCAGACCGACGTGCCCGGCACGTGGCCAAGGTGCCGTTTTCTTTGGGCCAGGAGACATGGTTTCGGTGTTTTGAACAAAGAGGAATCATGAGGAATCATGTTTTTTTTCTTTTTTCCCTGTGCATGGTTCCTTCAAGATAATCAACACGATTAGTGCCAGCTGTGCTTTGAGTTGAAGGCATTTAATTTAAAGGTATCACATGTGTAAGAGGCCAGTCTTCAGTCTGAACGTCATCCAGTCTTTACAGGTCGGACATGTCAGCGATCTTTTTTCCTATACGGTGGTTTCAGAGGTTCGATAGCACAACCCCCAAGTGCGGTGGTTTGTCTGGACCCCCATTGGTCTAAGACTTCTGTACTGGGTGCCAGTGCCATCTACTCTGAAACCACTGTAGCTTAACCCTTTTGTGTACAATCTAGGTACATCTACAGAACAAAGGAACTTGTGATGTGATGCATAATTAATCCTAATTACTCCATTCAACAAGCCATCGAAACGCCTTTGTAAAAAGTGCGCATCTCCATCCCGGGCCATTTTGCACCTCCGCCCATCTCCTTCGAGGGAGGAACAAAATCTCTGGCGACGGAGTTGGGAAGAGGTCCGGTCTGCTTCTGGTACGTGCTTGGCACGACCCAAGCCGTAGACTTGGTGCAATCTTCACATTCTTTCTTTCCAAAACCCCAAAAGAAACCAATAGGAGCTCAATCAATCGGACCATCTGTTTCCATTTTTTCCCTTCGAATGAAGGCACGGACCTTTGAATGAACCGCCGGACCGGTCACCCGGGTCGACCGCCGCCGGGTCAGGTGTTGCAGCTCCGCGACGGCGACGCGCTGAAGGTCGGCATCCTGGATGGACCCTACGACGACCGGGCGGTGGTCCGCTGGCGCTGGCCGGTGTCCCGGGCACGCAGGTGACGGAGAGTGACGGAGAGTGATGGGAGGGCGTTTTCTGTGAGGAGTCCGATGCAAGCAAAGTTTTGATGGAAATGAGTTGACACAAAGCAGGGTGTGAGTCGCAAGAAGACTTGTCTCAGAATCTTTCTAGAGAAAAGCAGTAGGGACCTCCCAGTTGGTTGGGGGTCAAGCATGGGGTGTGTGGCAAGCATGGACTCAAATCTGCATGGGCAACCAGCCTCTACCAGGAACAAGGGCATTATTACCAGTAGCTAGAAGCTACTAGTAACGCCCTTGTTACTAGTAGCTTCTAGCTACTAGTAGTCATGCCCTTGTTCCTAGTTAGTAATGCCCTTGTAACTCGTAGCAATCAGCCTGGTCTTCGGTTCTTTTGGAGGGAGGTTTTGGTTCTTGGAAGTTCAATGCGGCCTTAACTCGGGCTCGACGTGCGAGTTCAGACCGCCCAGGGCCCTGTTCTGTTCAAACCATCTTCCAGACTCCTGGCAGTTTCCATGTTTGTTCAGGCAAAGGATCTACATCAGGATGATAACCTGGTACTCTTTCTAAGGCTTCAGGCGGACGTTGGCGTGTGCCCGAACGCCGACAGCTACGTCCTGAGCGTCTAAGCATGGAGGAGAAGCGATGGACTGCCAGGCAGACTGCTGTTTGAAGCTGTTTGAAGCAGTGCCAAAGGGTCCAGATGGGTTGGGGGCTCAGAACCGGAAGACGGACCATTGGTCCGGAAGAGACATGGACCACAGGTCCAGGTCCACTTCAAGGGCCAGACATGGGGGGTCAACCCGTTTGACTCACAGTGACGGACTGGGGGACTGGGTCATGGCACCAGCGTACCTTGGTTGACCACAGAAAATGACCAGAAGGAGCTCCTGATTTTCGGTCAGCTGACCAGCGTACCTTGGGGCGGTTCTTGACTCACCATGTGGGCCGTTCCTGTCAACACATGACCATGATGCCGACTCAAGCTGGCACCTGTGGCGCGTTTCGACCAAGTCGTGCTGGATGTGGTTTTCGACCCTCCGTTGTGCGCCGACTGCATGGGCTGCAGGAGATTGAAGGTGCCTTAGATCGTGAGGCGCCACCGTGAAACTCACACGAACACGCGGCGGCACCCGTTGGGGTGGGTGCAGATGCCGATAGGTCGGCCACCAGGTGAGTGACGTCATGAGTCATCATTGTGGTAGAAAGCACAGACGAAACCGCTTATGTTCAGGTGTGCTTTGAACCCCTCTGATCTCACAATGAACAACTTGCATCACGTGGATGTTGCAACGCTAGCGCGTGGAAGAAATGTGCTGCTAGGGGTCATGGTGAGTACAATGCTTCCACTCATTTTCCGTCAGGTCTTTGGAGCTCCTTTTTGCACACGTTTTTCAAGAATAGATACCGTATACGGCGCTTCTTGTCATGTGCTACCAACAAGTCACCAAATTCAACCATGGCATAGAGGAGTCTCATCATGTTGACTCAGAAGTGACCACCTGTTTTCCCGGGTTTGCTCCCTCGCCTCTTTTTCTCCCGTCGTACAAAAAGCAAGTGCGCACCATGGCATTTCTTCGGCGGCTGCCGATGACAGCAGCCCGGAACCTGTGTGCGACCAATCGAGCAGTCAGTGGAAGTGGAGGCGGGGTATGACGGCCGAGGCGACCGAGGGGGTGTACTCGAGTTGTGTGTTCCTGTCGACTCAAAAATGAAGGTACAGAATGAAGCTCCCCAATCAGAATGGATTTACATCTGCATATTAAACTATGTCTTGTTTTTGAATCAACAGTCTGGGCCTTTGCTTTTCTGAAAGTTCTGGATTCTGGGATTCTTGGATTGATTGTATATATGAATAGAACGGCTTCTCTTTCTTTACTCAGAACCCTGTCCTTGATCTTGGATTGTCTTAAATCGGATTTAACAATGATTTCCAGGATTCTTTTGACGCATGTGTTCTTAGTTGTTGGATGTTTTGATGCGATGATCCTACACACCTCGTCTTGTATTTTGTTGCATATGCTCCAGTGGAGTGTCTCTTTGGCAGGCAGTGTACAGCGCCCAAGACTGAACACATGCAAAATTACCGTTCAAACACTTTTTGGGTTCTTGTTTCACTCGTAGTGTCCATCTGGGAGTGCTTCTCTTCTCTCACCTGTTATCTCTCAATCTAAGTATGGCAATGTGGCTAATAGCACCAACATTTGAAACTAGATGATGGTGACGGTAGTAGATGGACTACTAGCACTTCTACCAGTTCAATTCCAGGTTTTGCGACTCAAACGGCTTCATGATTTCTTTATTGTTTACTTTGGTCAGGCATGCCTGGAGGGCTGAGCCACATTGAGGGTGAGCTGGTGGGTTTTGAGAACGGCGACATCCTGAAGCCTCGGGTGAAGCTTCAAAGTCACTGGGCCGAAGAAAGACTGACCACCTTGGTGATTTCTAAGAGACGGGGGGAACCCTATGGAGGGCTCTCGTTTGGATTTGTATCAACCGTTTTAGGTGTTTTGGTGTTTTTCACCAGCTCGGCTTGAAAGAACAGAAACCATCGGAAGGGGTTGTGACCGATGACCACTTTGAGCGAGGGGGTCCGGGTAAGAACCATGCAGGCAGATGGAACCAGTCAGAACACGGAGTTTGCAACTCTTTGGCGGCCCTGCCCTGCTCCTCCGCACCGCTCCAGTGCTTGGCACCGCTTGGTGGAAAAGAACTCGCTCCGCACACGAACGCCGAACGCCGTTGAACAGGGATGGCCGAACGGGTCGAACTGGATCATGTCGTGAAGCGGTGTGCCAACCCGAGGTGGGCAGCTGGTGACCGCGGTGTGCGACGCCCACGTGGTGTTGCGCTTCCGTCAGCGGGTGCCCTTGGAGGAGCTGCCCGCTGGTGGCTATCGTTTGGCACAGGAGCGAGCAGCAGCAGGTCTTCTTGGGCTGTTTGTTTTTTGTTTCGGGCGGGTGTTTCAGCCTGTTTCAGCGGCTTTTGCGAAGATCTTTGAGGACTTAGAGCCTATTTCTTTTTGGTGTTCCATATTGGCCAACCAAACGGCTTGGGATATGTGCCCTGCATGGGCCACGCCCGAGCCCATTGTAGGAACATCGGTTGGTGGTTGGAGGGATTTGATGTTGAGCAGGAGGTCCCGGCCAATGCAGTCTTACCTGGGCGCTTCAAGCGCTGCGGGAAGCGGCATGGCAGTCCCAGAAAAAAGCGAGGACATAATCCAGTCTCCTCAAGCTCTCCGGAGCAGTTTACAGATCTGTTGATACCTCTGAACTGAGACGTGTTGAGTCTTAGAACCAAGTGAGCTCGCATCGCGCACAAGAAGTGCTCGACCGCAAGGACAACGCGTCTCATGGTCGACTTGGTGGACGACATAGACATAGAAGTTGCGTCACACTTTCAAAGCAAAAACACATCGAAGTCCAACGGTCTCTAGAGGTGTGTACTTTCGGGTGCAGTGTGTGTAAAGCTACGAACGTAGCAAAGGGCATGATCGCTACGAACGGAGCGTTCGGACGCTACGAACGGGGCGCTCCTGGCCTTACTAGTAGCAAGGTTCGCTACGAACGGAGTTCGGCTTTTCACCGTCCTGAAGCACCCGCCCTGGAGCCAGGGCGGGGGGCCAGGAGCCGATGGTTCCAGAGAAGATGAACCAACTGCGCTTTAGCCCTGAACGTTATGACCAGATCACCCGAGGACCGGACGCTTCCATGTTACATCGAAACCCCCGAGCAAGGCCCCCCCCCCCTTTTTTTTCGATATCTGTGCACATTTTAAAGATGGCATTTTTTTGCATTGTGGAACCGAAGACCGTCACAGAGATGTCCAGCAGACGGTGCCGGATCTTGGGACATTTGGGTCCTTTTTGATGTTTTTGACCTTGAATGTTTGCTTGAGATGAGGGAGTATATTTTTTTTCTTTCTATCTTATTTTTGCCACAGAAACTGGGGATTTTGGGGACTTAAGATTACTTGGTCGTTTTGCGAAACGATGCCTGGAACTTATTCTGCGTAGTGGTGTCATAGGAGTGGACCAATGCCGCTTGATCGATCCATATAAAGAACAACTCCACCACTCCTGGTTGTGGCCTGGCCCTTTGGAAGGACGCCAATGGCAATTGAACCATACACACACATATATATATATGTGTATAACACACCAATCACACACACACCGATCTTTTTGTACGAAGGTGCCTGGAACCGAGGTCGGGGATGGACTCACCGTCCTACTCCGACTCGATGCATGGCACCCAGTCATGGCACCCAGTCGAAAGCGAGGTTTCCGAGTCTGGCGGACGCCCACGTGGACGCCCAAAAACCTCTTTTCTTCCCGTTGATGAAACAGAGGGTCTCCTGAACTTGCAAGCAACCCATCCATGCTTTTGAAACATACCTGGATCCTGAAACAGGGGTGACCTTACAGCTCCAGCTCAGCTCCAGTTCCCGGAGAGTCGTCGTGAGGTTTCGCTCCAACCAGCTGACCCAACCACCCACATGAAGGTGTATGTCACCCTGTTGGGTCTGTCGTTCGCTCCTTCTCCTTCTCGCTCAGAGGCTCTTCCTCGACCTCGCCGACAAAATCCGTCGCCGCGAGCGAGCGAAGGACCCAACAACGTGGGTGCCTACGCTTGGGTCTCCCGGAAGCTGCGTGCAGCCAAAAACCAACGGCCAAGTAATTTGCCGAAGTAATTCGTGAAAGAGGTCCTGGAGACAGCTAGAGCTCTTCAGGTCCTGAAAGGATCATGGTGAAGCCATGGTTTGGAAGTTTCACCTCAGCTTGGATGTGGGTCTTTCGAACGACTGGCATTTGAACGGACGACTGGCGTTGGTTTCATTGGCAGAACGGTGACGAGGGTGACGATGTGTTCAGAGTATCCACAGAGTTTCAAAGGTACGGCCGACTTCCATGGCACGAGGTTTGCAACACTTCTCTCGGCTCGACAGTGCACGACCGGTGCGCGAGAGAGTCGCCTCGACAGAAGCGCCCCAACCGTGGGCAAGAAGTCTTTTCCCGGCGCAAGCGATGAAGTGTGCAGCGTGGTGCTAGAGGTGCTTTTTGTTTTTTCCCCAGGTCAAATCCTCCGTTTCGGGATGTCAACCTCCCATGGTTTGGTGGGGTAAGCGCCATGACTCACAACCATAATTCAGACAAGAGAATTCAGACAGGTGCACTTGTGTATTTGAGCGAAGAGACCTGTCATTGGACCACGGATGCAAATGACTTGGCCAGGATGTTCTACATAGCTCGACCCCGTGGTTCCCCCTACATCCGTACATCCGTGGTACATCCCAAGCTTGGTAAGGGCGAGAGGCCTAGCTCGGTCTGATCCATCAAAGCAAGAACAGAGCACTGGTGGTCCCAAGCCATACTCCAGGTGTCTTTTTCTTCGAAAACGCCGGTGACTGTGCCTTCTTCCTCAGGAGGTTCTCCCCGAATTCCTAGAGCTTCACTTTTCGGCGGCTGTGGAGTGTTTGCCGCGCTTTGAGGAGGCTCAGGTGGCTGGGTTCGGTGGCTGGGTGCCTGGGCATGAGTGTTTTCGGGAATCGTTGCTCCTTCAGGCCGGCTTAGGAGTGTGCATACTTTTGGAGTTTCAGATATTCTGTTCCTTTTTATTACTGGTCTCGAGCGCTTCCACCAATATGAGAAGGTTGGAGGTAAGCTGGGCCCTGGCATGAATTTGATGATCACAAAGAACCAGAACAATTGCTATAAGGAATAATCGAGCATGTCACGCATTTTCACCCCTGTATGTACATGTGTATTGTAGAGCTTTGCACATCGGCGATGCCATAAGGGTTATTGTTTTTGTTGTCGATCCCATCCTTAAGCAGATATATCTTCACGCGGCAGCCGGGCGAGCGATGTTTGTGTTAGGATCTTCGAGAGGGCTTTGGAGTGTGAGGCGGTGAGGTTCGAGGAAAGGGAGTGGTCCAGGTGGTTCGGGCAGTGAGATGTTTGTGTGTCTGCTACAGTTCCGGCAGTGAGTGGTCTGGCCCAGTTGGCCCGAGCCTCGCCCCGCGGGGCGACCTTCGACGTCTTAGACAGGAGCTCAGACAGCAGGGTCAGCTGGGCCAGACGTGTCACCCAGCTGGTCCAGCTGGGCAGGCTGCGTAGTGAACGGCTGCGCCATGCCTGGACGGTGTGGTGGCGAAGACTGACCACGCCGGGAGACGGCTGAAGCTGACGGCGTTGGAATCCATGGGGTGTAGCTTGAGAGGGCCCGACACCACTCCGAAACCGCCGTCCCTGGCGGTCCCTGGCGGTCGGGCTAACAGCCCTGGACCAGACCCTTTGAAGGATTCAATCATCACTTCCTGTGGCCAGAAGAAAGCTCTCCAGACCCCCCGGCTCTCTGGAAAAAGCAGTCTGGAATGAACCCCGGAATGACGCGAAACGCTGAAGGCGCGCAGTCACTGCCCGAATGGGCGTGCGGCGTGCAGCTCGGTGTCGCCAGGTTCGGCCAGACCCTGGCTCTGAAGGTTTGAGCTGACCGCCCAATCAACGCACCCGTTCGTCCACCGTTCGCTTCCCATCGCCACATCGGCTTAGCGCCCACCGCCACCGCCAAACCGGCTGAGGTCGGCTGAGGTCGGCGGACAATGGCAATCAAACTTTCGGAGGAAGCGCACCGAAACACAGAAAGCTCTAGGAATGTGATTTGCGTGAGCAAAGGTGATGACTCATTGGGCGATGATGACTCGGATGGGGCAATGGCGCGATCGGGCCAAGTGCTGTTCTTGAAATGGTGCGGATGTCGTGATGAATGTTGAGGATGTTTGCGTCCCATGGGCGCGCGACGTGTCGTTCTGGGCAGCGAAGTGACGTACGACGCAGTGTCGTAGTCCGACCGGTGTTGAAGTGAAGTGTGGAGATGAGGTGTGGTGAAACTCAGGTCCGAGGTATCCACCATGCCCATGTCGTGGATGTGTGAGGATGAATCGCGTTGGTATCCGAGGTAGCCGAGTGACTCTTGATTCATACACCGCCCGATGGGTAGAAGAGGATTTTCTATGATTTTCTGGATGGGCTATTAATCAACAGTGTGACTGGGTTTCCAGCTCGCTTTTGTAGGCGCTGAAGCAACTGCCATGTCGATGGTTCTGTGGGAATCGCAGTTATTCCCTGTGTGCGCAGTTATTTCTGTTCCACACGACAGATCGCCGGTATTATTGAAATATCAAGAGTCTGCAGTGTGTACAGTATGCGAACGCCTGCTTACTGTAATAGGTGTTAGTTTTCCAACCCATGCATACTAATTGCATCGGGTGACACTTTTGGACAACACACATTGTGGTTAAGGTCTGGCTGTTTGGTCAATGCCTTCAGAGCTTGTGGTGAACCGTGCAGCAGTCAGGTGGATTTGCTCCTCGTACCTCCGCCATTGGACCGCTTGACCAGGCAGGTGTTCTCCGTTTCTTCTCGGACACAGCAAGGGAGTGTCTTCAAGTCACTACCTGTTTGGACAACGCTAGAGCCGCTAGAGCAGATTGGAACACGCAGTGAACTGTTGCTGGAACACATCCAGCGTTGCCGACTCAGTTTGAGCATAAGTAAGTCCGAAATGTTTCCAACTTTCAACAGTAGAAGGCGCGATGCCTATATTGAATTGCCGTTGCTGTTCGGTTGTCTTTCACTAGCAGAGGCGCCTTCATTGTGGAGGCATGTCGATTGCAAGCCCTGGCGTTTTTTCAATGTTGAAACATGGGATCATGGTGGTCCTTTGTGCTGACATGGAGAGTCTTTGTCATCTAGCCGCTGCTTCAGAGTTGCAAGGCTCTTGCCCCAGTTAGTGCAGCTGGGCATTGGCACACTGGCCTTATGCCAAGTGCCAGGCGTGCAATGAACCTGATCGCACTTCGAGCTTGTAGTCATCCACCATATCCACCTGGTTGCACTACATCCATCCATATCCACGCTTACTCAACTTGATAGGTTAAATACAAGTAGTATCACGATTCTCAACAAAAGCACGTCTTTCACTTCTTGCACCTCGTTGTGCTTTTGTATATTCGGTTTTGGCGGTTCCTTGGATTGGCTCCTTCATCCAGTTCGATACGCGCGGTCAGCTTCCACACAGGCGGAGATCGTGAGGTCTTCCACTGCCACCTGCTACGCAGCGAGAGGAAGCTGCGGGAGCTGCTGGTGAATGGCTTGGAGCAGAGTGGACAAACCCAGGTGCCACGACGTGCCAAACGAAAAATGTGGTGGGACATGCCCACCACGACAATGTTGGATTGTGGAACCGATTTCGCTGTGACAGGAGATCAGTTCGAGATGTGATGAATGACTACTCCAGGACTCCAGGATGTGATGAATCTGCTGAGCCCACCCAACAGACCCCAGCAGCTCTCCCAGACCCTTTTCAATATGTCACTCTTTGTTACCAAATATATCCAAATATCTAATAGCATCAGACTGTTTTCTGTACGGACCTATATATTTACCCCTGCGGATTGTTCCGCCGGCCCTTTTGGCTGAGGGGGGGGGGGGGGGGGGGAAAGTTAGACTTGTCAAAAATCCGCGCCGTGGGTACAATTAGACTAAAAACAAAACTACTACTAGGATAGCAGACGAACCAATCACCTAAAACACGCCGCGCCCAAGGGCCGGCGGATTCGATTCAGACTTCAGATATATATATATATATATGCATGCCATACGTATAGTACAGAACCGGACTTCACCGCTCTTTCCGTTTGGCACCTGGCTTCGACCCTGAGGTGCCCGTGCTCCGGCAGCTGCGGTCCTCGGCGGACGTGGCCGCCTTCGCCCACAGCGGCGCTTGGGAGGCCAAGCTGAGCTGCTTCCAAGGCACCGCGGACCGTGGTCGACGACGGCCCTGACGGCCGGCTGACTTGGTTCCGGGAGGGAGTTGGGACCACGGTGGGACCACGCTGCGTTCGGACCACGGTAGCCCTGAGGACCCGTTTGAACCCTCGCCGTCGGTAGGAGCCTCTCGTCTCGTCTCAGCGTACCGAGTTGACCGGTGGATTGGAAGGACCGTGGGCTTCGCAACAAGGGCCAGCTGGATGGTGGGGTCCAGTTGAGCTTCAAAACCCAGGTCGTTGACCCTCCCAGGTGGTCGGTCGTCGCCGTTCTGTTCGGTGGGTCAACCAAGGTCCCGGTGCCATGACCGGCCATAAAGTCGGTGCAAGAAACATGCAGGGATGGCAGGAGGCTTTCCTTGAAGTGGCAGGGGTTTCACTTGGATTTGATGTGACAGGGATACCGTAGGAGGGAACAAGTTTTGGATATAGCAATCTACCACATAATGAACATACTTCTGCTCCAGACCTAGGTGGTAATGTAAAGTACATCGTATTTGCCGTTATTTGCCGCAGTTTTGTTTCAACTGCATGTTTGGTTTTCCCCATGGCTAGCTTCATATATCTCAGCAGTCTCAGCAAGTTTGTCTTGGCAAAGAATAACCCTCTCTTCACTTTGGCTGCGGAAGAACTACTGATCCACAGGCCAGCTTCATGAACTTCTATGAACTTCTCCTATTTTTTAAGAAAGGCACCTTGCTCCGCTCCGGAGCAACACCGCAACAGGCACCGAAGCCGCCAGGGAGCCGGTTCGCTCCGCTCGGTGGCGTCGGTGCGGAGCTCGTCTCTTGCTGGCCGTGGGGCCTGATGGGGGCTGGCAGTCTCAAGAGGTGCGGGGAAGAGGAGTCAGGAGGGGTGGCCGGTGCATGTGGCATATGGTATATATGCATACATATATATATATATATAGATGGATAGATGGAAAGATGGATAGATGGATAGAGATATAGATAGATATATATATATAGATGTGTGTGTGTGTGTGTGGGTGTTTTGGAGAACAGGGGGACGTGGGCATCAAAGGAAGGCTGAAGTCTGTGGTCTCCTTGGGCCTTGAGAGGGCTGGATCCTGACCCAACAGTTGCGAAAGAAAAAGGTTCCAATTTTCCTCTGTTGAACAACCTGGGGAATCTCAACGGTTCGCTCTGCTAAGAGGAAGATGTGGCTGACACCAGTCGACACCTATTGGTTGGGAGTTTGCGAGGCACATATGTGAACTCCATGTGCACCAAGCCGGGTCCACGGGTTCAGGATAATTTCACTGTGTAGTTCAACCCCCAATCGCAAGAAGATGTATCACGATTTGAACACTCTTTGACTTTGACACTCTTTTAGACTCCTCTTCGTTGTTTCCAGGCGGAAGAGTCTCGCATCGTTCAGCACTGTGAGAGGAGCAGTCCGTACGTTTGACACTCACTGGGCACCGCACATCGTTCATGCGACGACGACCGGGCGGCCGCAGCAGATCTCCGCGGGGCTGGTGGGGGGACCGCGCAAGCGCAGCCCGTCTGGATCCACGTGACGTTCCGGTCCTACCAGGAAGATCTCCTGCGGCAGCTGGGCTTCCAGGGGCTAAGCCGGAGACTGAGCTGAGCTGCTGCGCGATCGGCCGGTGCACGACCACCTGGTGGACCGGCCGTGCGTGGCATGAGAACTCCGGGTGCGTGGTGCGTGGTACGAGGGACTCGAGATTGTTAGACTTTGGGCGGGAACAAACAGTTTATTCACCACAGAAACCTCACGGCCGATAGAGTTGAAGGCCCTGGACCCTGCACTTTTGCAGAAGGGCAGGATTTCTTCCTTCTGCAGCCAAATGCTGAAAGCAAAGTCGAGAGTCAGGTGGTTTGTGTTCCATGTTTCGTTTCCCCAAAGCAGGAGAATCTTATCATCCCAAGCAGGGGTGAGAAACGAGATAAGAGCTGCCCCCATGTTTTCTGCGACGAATGAGGGTTTTTATCACACGGTAGATAAGAAGGTTCATGAAGGTTCAATTTTTCTGGATGGCAGATCAAGTTTCGGTTCCATTTTCAGGATGGCTGCCATCCCATGGCAGTTCAATCGTCCTGGTTTGGTGATGCCTCCCATGGCGGTTCACGCGTCCACCTTCCTCCCTGTTCTTCGCCCTGCGCCTCGGCCTCCAAGGCCTAGGGCCACGACCACTGAGCCCCGAGCTGCAGGTGCCATCGGCGAGTTACGACGGGAGCAACCGGTGTGGACCGGGTTGGACGGGTGCCACCGTCCTCCAAAGCAGGATGAGTAGTTGAGAGGTTGGAGGTCTCGGGTTGCGACTGGACAGCGTGTGCTGGACGCGTGTTGCTGGACTTGCGGCTGGTCTTGCTTTTTGGGTCCTCACATATGTTGGTTTGTGGACGCAAAATGAGATGGAACTGTTTTAGTTTTGGTCAGTTACGGGAAGTTGTAGAAATCCAAGGTTCGTTTGAGGGATAAAGACATTTCAACCCAACATTGGATGATCTGGATGTAGCTTTCACTTGTTCATTGGGTGTCGGCCATTTGGGCAACCCCAGAGCGCTGAGCAATCAGTTGATCAAAACATATCAAAACTAGCAACAATCACTCACACCTGGTACCCGCTCCACATGCTCAATACCACCAAAAAGAAGAAGGACTTGGCTGGCAGTCAGCAAGCACCCGTCGTCGGAGGCTTGGCTTCTCTGAAAGAAAGGATCCCTATGACGTTCCAAGCACGTTTTGCGCTGGCATACCACACACCCCAAACAATCCCTCAGAACCTCTCCTTCTTTCTCTTCGGAACAGCTTGGCCTTCCCACCCCGTTCTTTGACCAAAGAAGGTTGACTTGGCCTTCCCACCCTCCGCGCTGACCCGCCGGTTACGACCCGCCGCGCCAACACCGCGATTGACCATAGGCCATGAGTGGCATCTCTCTGTGCGAGCGCGCTCTGCGGAGAAAAGGATGGTACCAGGGACTGGGAGAGTAGTGTGCTTTTTGGATCTTCTTTTCTAGCAGAGTCTATGATTCATTGATGATTGCTGCGTTCCTTTTTGCTTTTTGCATGCAAAATCAACTGGCACACCTCTATTTGAGTAGGAAAATAGGACATGTCCTGTAGATTTCCTTTAGCACAGCTATGAATGGATTTGGACATGACGAGGACATTCCAAAAGGCCAAAGGGCCACAGTGGCTACACCTGTCCAATCTAGCAAGAACACGGCAGCGCTTGATGCATCTGGATCCGGCCACCTTTTTCAACGTGTGGGTATCAGGTATCAACCGGAGAGAAGTGGATTTCTGAAAGAGATGTACAACATCTTGGTTTCTCACAACAACCTTCAGTTTTGAGTTTGCTCCAAGTCATTTTCTTGAAGACACGGGTTGAGGGTCGAGCAACTATATGCATACTGTTGCATTTACTGTACCTGTCTGTATATATCTCCAAATAGATCTCCTAAATATGTTCATTTCATTCGCTCCTGGGGCTGGTGAACTTGGCTGGTTTGGGTTTGGAACCTGATATTGCAGCTTTGTTAAGATGGTAGCGGTCAGACTTTGTCTGCCAATGATTCCTTCAAAGTTCTGTTGCTTTTTGCATGGCGCGTTTTGAAAAGGAGGCGCATCTCCCACATGCAAGGTCTTATCTTTTTCACCGCTAGACTCTTTGCCTTGCTTCGCACCCAAAGGGGGGTCGTCAGCTACACCAGTTCACCGAGTCGCCCAAGCTGGATTTGGCAGACCTCTGGGCCTTTTCCGGAATGAAGATCCGCACGGCCCTCAGCTCTTGGAGTTCAACATGTCGACCTCCCGCAGAACCGACGACTGGTTCGACCTACGACTGCCACACCCTTCGTTTGGCTCGGAGCTGTGATCGGCGTCCGGCATCGCGCGGTCTCCGCCGAGAACTGCCGAGGAGATGGCCCAAACGGGTGAAACTGAGAGGAAGAGACGGACATCAAGGATCAACCAAGGATCCTTGATTAGGATCTTTGTAATGGCGAATCAACTCAACTCAATGATCTTTAGGCGCTTTCAGGATAGAACCAGGGTAACCACATCCCGTGAGACTTGCATGTCCGGCCAGAACAACAGCTCATAAACTACGTTTGGCTAGGGACACTGTCCCTGGACCCCCTGGAAGCCGGAACCATAGAGGCAAAAGCCATTGGGTCAAAGGGGGGTCTCCCTATGCCAATATCATGATACACATTCATGTATTTGTCGTATCCATTCCACTTCGAGGAGATGGGAAACATTTGCCGGCCGCCGCCGCAGACGGCGCGGGATGGGTGTCCGGGTTGGGAAAGTGTCGCAGTCGGAAGATCCAAGTATAAAGTGCACCCTGAGGTCTGATCCCCTCACGTGAAACTGGAAGGGCAGCAGGGAGCCGACAAGTGCCAGAAGACAAGAAGCAACACGCTTTTTTCACCCAGTGGTTTTGGGGTTCCATGTTAATCTGCGCGGGAGTGCCTTTTAGCTTCTAGTTTGCTCTTGATACAGACAGGATCCAATGAATATGGCGCACAGTTTGTGTGGTTTAGGGAAAAAGTGCTCAGGTCATTGCGTGATGATATGAGGATGGAAAGGGACTGGGCAAATACCATACCAAGAACTTGTTACTTTCCCAGATGACATGGCAGATGTCTTTCCAAGGACCTTGTTTTGAATTCTATGGTAGCAAGAAGCTACTAGTAGCTCCTGGCATTAAACAGGAACAAGAAGCTACTAGTAGCTAAGTGCATTGCTACTATAGAGTGACAAAAAACATTTTATAGTCTCATTTGTTAAGTAGCAAGAATTGGAAGCGTCGCCCTTCCCGTCCTTGCCTTCTTGCCCGTCACGGGTCGTGGTGACCGTCACGGTCGGCCCCGCTCCTTCGCACTTTGACTTGCTGATTCGCTTCGGACCAGTCGCCGAAACCAAACCTGAAGAAGCTCCCCAACGGTCTCTCTGACGGATGGGCCCCAGAAGGGGGGCTGATGGGCTGATGGTGAATTTGCTGGGTAACGGCCACAGTCGCCTCCGCGCCATTGGCCCGCGACCCGCCAGGCCGTTGGCGCTGGTACCGTTGGCGAGGCTCCGGAGCAGATGGAGGAGGCGACATGGTGAAGATGAATCAGGTGATGCGCAAATCAGATTCTCAGGAAGGGACTTTCCTCACAGACTCCTACAGATCCAGCAACACGCACGCAGTAACTGTTGCATAGCCATAGCTTTTCGGCGTGTGTGGCCCGAACGGCGGATGTTGGAGCCCCCTCACAGGGCCCACCGAGTTTTTGAGGCCTCCTGAGCCTGCCCGCCGTTTCATGCCTAACTAACCCGATGGACATCACGAAAGCCACCCCCCGCCAGAGTCTGCTGCTCCAAGAACCAAGCTTTGGACCTCAGGCAGACGGCCCTTTAGGTCCGGTCGAACGCCAGGTGGCTGATGGGTCCCACCCTTTTGCCGTTGAGTGTGGGTGTGGGTGTCGGGTATATACGTGTGAATGTGTGCTGTGTTGATTCAACCATGCCAGGAAGTGGGCATGAACTGCTTGATGAGGTGGGATTCAGCTCAGCTGCGCCAGTGACGGACATTTGCCGATTCAGAAACCAACCGATCAGGAAACTACGATTCAGAAACCAAAACAGCCGATTCAGCAACTACGATTCAGAAACCAAGGCAGTCCGATTCAGAAACCAAATGGTCCGATTCAGACACCAAATGGTCCGATTCAGAAACCAAGCGAGTCCCGATTCAGAAACCAAAACTGCCGATTCAGAAACTAAAACAGCCGAGTGACCATTCTCATCAGCTTAGCTGTTGCCGCCAATTGAGTGATTGACAGGGTCACCGTGATGAATGGCCGACGCCAAGGGAAGAGTGCACTGGAGTGCACTGGAGTCCGTAGGGTGCGGGCACAGACACAGAAATGCCAGGAACAAAGACATGGGTAAGTCGGGTGAAATGGGTAATCCCCTCATGCGGCCCCGCAAAAAATCAAGCATGATCTCATCATGCTTCAGGAAGAGACCGTGGGCATTGGTGCATGTGGTGGGCAGTTTCCTCATATTTCTTGGGCGACCCCAAACGAAAGAACTCACGTTCTAAACGGCGCTCCAAGAGCCGGCGCCGGTTTCCCACGGCCGTTCGTCCTTCCATGCTGCACCGGGGGAGACCTTCGACCGACTTTCGGGTGCTTTGCTCAGTAACAAGCTGAACTGCTTCCACAAGAGCGACTCCTTTGAGATCACCGGCTCTGAGGTGGTTTGGGGCGTTTCGGTGAAGGGACTCCTTTCAGCGCTGGAATCAGACCCCTGGGGAGGGATGAATCGATGGCTCTTGTTTTGTTGGAGCACCCGTGGGGTGGGTGTCTTTGGGGGCTTTTCTTTGGCCACCCAGTGCAACGCTGTTTTTCGGCACGGTACGAACCGACTCAGGTCTGGTCCTGTGCGCAAGAGGTAGAAGAGGTTTTGCACTCCAAATGCGAGGGGGTTTATGAATCGGTCCGAGAATCAAGTCATGTTCAGCAACGAGGTCTGCGCGTTCAGCAACCCACCTTGGAGTTTCGTTTCACCGTTTCCGAACACGTTGACCGTCCAAGTGGACCCGCCCCGGGGTTACCAGCGCGTGCTTACCAGCGTCCGCTGCTGGTCGTTTTTGAAGCAAAAGAAATTGGACGATGTGTATTTCAATATAGGGAGACCCCTAAATAGGGGGATTTTCGTCTAATTTCCTTCTTGCAGGGGGACAAATGTGGGAGGTCTTCGTATTTAATACGCACTCAAATAGGTCAGAATGATCAATGTCAACCTGATTGTAATCCTTGTGCAGCTCAAGACCCACTGGAAGCTTTTGACGCCTCTCCGTTTTTTACTTGGACGTTTTAGGCTTTTTTGGTCTGCTGGGTAAAATCACGGTCCAGTGGTCCCGCCTATCGACAGATTCTTGTTTGCCAAATCCTCCAGTGCCTGAGAAGGGTCTTGGTCCAAGACCAGCGAAACATCAGGAGAGGTGCTGATATGTCGTTTTTTCTCGTTGAAGGGGACATCAACACTTCTTGATACCCGTCATCGACTGGAACTCATATTTTATTCGTCCAACAAACAATGGAAGTAGAACATGAACATGGACCCTTGGAAGACCCTACTGCAACTCACATCTATGATCTATCTCTATCAATATCTCATATCCCTGTGTTCTGTATCTCTTTGTCTATATATCATATCTAGCTATATACAATATAGCTATATGTATGTAATATATATCATCTTTCCATTTCCATGGACCCCCCAAGCTTTGATCCAGGCCTCCACGCCGGGTCCCAAGACGTCTGGAAGCCCGGCGGGGTTGGTTCTGCGGGCTCGCCCGAACGAAGGACAAGGTTTAAGGCGTGGATATCACGCCAGAGATTTGATAGATTTTATATGATTTTATACTATATATTTGATAGCTTTGATAGTTTTTATACACTATGATGATATGTCCCCTGAGATTCTTGCATGAAAGCCGGTGCACAACATGAGGGT